CGGCAGGGGAGCGTCCAGACTAGCGCGCTGAGCCAACAAACAGCTGATCAGCTGTTTGTCGGCTCAGTGCGGCAGCCATGTAAGTGTAAATGAAGCCGCGATCATTTAAATCGCAGATTCATTTGCCTTTGCTACAACAAATCTACATGGCTCTGTCGACAGAGCCATGTAATTTAGATGTACCCAGTGAGTTATTTGTATTTTTTCCAAAACAGAGCAGCCACATTAATGCTATCGTAACGGGAAGGCCATAGCATGTTTTGTAGCAGAAGTAATATTATAAATGTAGATTTTGTTTAAAACTTTCTTGGTCACATATTTATCAGAGAGCTGAAGCTGATGTTGCAAGCTATGTTTGCCCAAGGCAAGCGTTCACTAATTTTAGTTTGTTGTTTTACAGTTCAGTGAGTTTATGCAATTTCCACATTTCAATTAGTTGCGAAAGTACCTTAAAATAAATATCAAATAAAGTTTTTCTTTTTTTTTTGGAACCCTAAAGATGGCTCATAATATGAAAAGTACCAACTCATACAGTTCAAACCTGTTTGATCAAATCTTAAGACCTTTATCTAGGGGCAGATATAAAGTAGGACACAAGAAATGTATTTTGTGCCATTTCCCAGGGACTGGCCACAATCCTGCTGAGGTTTTTAGTCACTACTCCCTACTAGTAATCTTTGCTCCCTGAAATGGTGAGGAATGGAAGAAAAAAGATATTCTCCCTAAGGGCATATGTGTGCTGCCCTTAGAGCGAATGATACCTTACTTACACACACTCCCATCGAAATCAAGTCTGAGATGATCTGCTTGGTGGAACACTGGGGCTACGTCTAGACTGGCATGATTTTCCGGAAATGCTTTTAACAGAAAAGTTTTCCGTTAAAAGCATTTTCAGAACAGAGCATCTAGATTGGCATGGACGCTTTTCCGCAAAAGCACTTTTGGAGAGTCTCTCTAGATAGGACCCCTTAGCATTGACCACATCCCCTCTGTTGGAAGCTGACATATCTTAAGTGCTTAGTCTATTCTTTTTTAAATATCCAATAAGATGAGAATTCTACCAGTCCTTTGAGCTTCTGAGGGACTAAGGAATGAATAAATGGAATGTCTTGTCTCTACACTATCTCATCCTGCTATTAGAAAGTATTCTAGCTTATGACCTAAATGGTGGCATTGCCTGTAAGCCTCCACTGAGTGGCTGTATCTAGACTACATGGCTCCGACGACGGAGCCATGTAGATTAGGATTATAGGCAAAGGCAAATGAATCTGCGATTTAAATGATCGCGGCTTCATTTACAAACTGGCCAGTCTAGACACAGCCTATATGTATTTGATACATCCTGTACTACTGGGAGTATATGACTCTATATACACCAGGAACAACAGGACTAAAAAGAGCAAACTTCCTAAGATTCAATATACAATACAGTATAGACACTGTGGGTCAGATTCCTATTTTTACACACAAGTTTATAAATCTGGAACACAACATTAAAGCACTCTGCCATCCACTTTCACCTTCAATGGAGTTACACTAAGCTAGTAATGTAACTAAAAGGAGAATGTGCTTGTATGTGTATTCTATCGGGCATTTTGATAACTTGGATTGTTATAATTCCCCTCTGCTGCAGCATTCTCACTAAATATCTAAAAAGTAAAGGGAAAATTCAGAAAAGATAGCAAGGACTGATGAAAGGTGAAAAAATTAGATTACTTGAACAGTCACTCCAAACTTTAATCCCTCACAACAGTATGCTAGGCATGATATGGAGATGTATTCCTATTTCATAGAACTAGAAGGGACCTTGAGAGATCATTGAGTCCAGTCCCCTACCCACACAGCAGGACCAAATACCATCCTTGACAGATTTGTCCTAGATCCCTAAATGGGCTGGCCCTTCAAGGCCTGAACTCACAACCCTGGGCTTAAGCAAGTCAATGCTCAAACACCCAAGCTAACCCTCTCCCACCTATGACTAAGTGATTCATTGATGAGAAATAGGGAAATATCAATATCAATCCTTATGGACCAAATTTTTTAAACCCTACTCGCTCTAGCTACATGACAGTTGGAAGGTTTGTGATGCAGTTCAGACTGATTCTATGAAGATATGTAGGATAAGATTTTTATGTTAAGGGCATAAACTCTATAGCAGAACAAATAGAATCGAGGCTAATAGAGATGTATACCATTCTCCATTCACGTTCAAAACAGCATGAAGTATGGAAAAAGAGCTCAGAACACACAAAGATATACGAGAAATATCTAAAGAATACATCAATCAGTGAAATCAATATAACTACTCATGTGAGTAAGAAGTAGTCATCTGAGAATGGGTTACAGGATGAACACCCAAATTTATTTCCTGAGTCCCAATGGGAATAAGTATGAGTTGGATAATTATTCTGGATTTGACATGAAATACAGTATGTCTTTTCTACTTTGCAAATCCTGGTGTCAATATACTGCACTAGTATTATACAGGAATTGTACCAGTACCTTATATCCTCATCCAGAGAGCTTGATCTGCTAAAGAGAAACTTTTCAGCTTGCTTCCCGTTTTCCTTGGGCAATTTCTTCCTTGCTACTTCTTCCAGTACTTTCTTATCTAGGTAACTACCCTATTCCCACTTTTGCCCGTTTTCCTTTTGCAAATTTAAAGAAACCACACTTATATCCCTAGAAGAGCAAATCAACAACCGCTGCCTTCAGCTAACAAACTGCCATTTAGTGTCAATAACTGACAACAGAAAATTCATTTTTGTTCTAGGACCTAAACTGTGAGTTATGTGCCCTTACCATAAAGATAAAATCCAAATGAACATTAGAAGTTACTTGCTCTTTTATAAAGTATTAAAATCCATCTGGAACAAACTTACCCATCATCCACTTTTCTCATCATTAACAGTTCCATGAAGCTTTCCTTTAGTGGACAGAAGTCCACACGAGAACATTTATCGTTGTAATTGTCATTGATTGACATCCTGGTAGATGGAGATTGAACTACACTGTCATTGCTAGATGTGGTCAGTGTTGATGAACAATTGTTGGACTGAGTGGATTAGATCATATTATCTCCACCTGTGTACCTGTTTGGAGAAGAAAAGGATATTAGACTTCAGAGTAGTCAAATCATCTTGTTTTGGAAGTATTAAAGCAAACAAAAGTAAATAAAAAGCCTTTCCCTTACATATAAGATGTGAGGTAACACAGTTGGCAGTCAGGTGACCTCTTTATCTTTCCTCCCTAGTCTTCTTCACTCCTCCTTTCACAGTCCTTTTAATAATGTCCTCTCTCTTCTGGTCTCCTATTGTGTTGCCAGCATCCATTCCTACTGAGAAGCTAGCCTCAATCTCTTATTGTTATACTTCTTACAACTATCTTATGCTTCTCTCTACAGTGTCTATTAGCCAATGATTGCAGAACACCTCCGTGAACTAGACTATAAGGTTATTACTCTTTCCTCTTTCAAATACCTCCTCAAGGCTCATCTGTGTTATTACATCTGCAACAAATTGTCCCAACCAGTAGTAGCTATAAAAGAGGCAATTGAGGAGAGTTTTTGTTTTTAAAGGTTTATCCCTCCCCTCTACATTTGTGCCTTCTCTTTACAGTTTGTAACAGTTTGCGGTAAAATATTATACATGGGGAATACACATCATGGGTATCATTCTAATACAAATATTGAACAATAAAAAGTACGACAATAGCAACATCTTACAAAACAGCAGCACGTACCTTATGGTGCATCTACACAGCACCCTTACCTCTAAATAAGCTATGCAATTTCCATATGCAGTTTGCTTTGCCTATACAAATGGATGTCCAGCAGTCTCCTCTCATAGTTTGAAGGTGAGGCCCATAAGGCTACATCTACATCGCGGAGTTGTGTCTTTAAATGTGCTCATTATTTCAAAATATATTTCGAAAGAATGAGCATGCTATTCTGGAATCCCTGTAACAAGAGTTAAGGGATTTGTCAAACTAGTCCTTTAATTTGAAATTTGGTGCTGTATAGACAGCACCAAATTTCAGAATAAGCTATTTCAAAATAACCTTATAGGCAAAGCAAACGGCTCTTACCTTTTCAGCAGTACCAGGGAAATGAATCCCTGCAGTCAGGTACTGGGAGTCCTATAATCTATTTTCTGATTTCAGTTCCCAAATCATACTTTAATATTTATATCTACTAGAATGTATATGAAAATTGGTTAAAAATAAAAGACTAGAGCTGATATTGAAATAGCAAAAATGCCTTTCTGTAATTAATTATTTTCTATTAATTAATGCATGAAGAAACTAAAATAATACCACACCGGGGATTTTTTGTCTTTTTTTTTTTTTTTGTTTAAGCCCACACAACAAATTTTAGCAAGTTTTACAAGAACTGATAATTGGTATCTGATTGGACACGAATTGTGTTTCTTTTTCTTAATATCTGACATTTCTGTCATGAATCATTAGGTCATTTTTGGCTCTGTCATATTGGCTTACAACACGAGACAACAAACATGACACAATATGTCACAGTAACCCAGATAACATGTCAGAGTGTTTTGGAGAAAAAAAAATTGCATTCAGTTGGGTGATGAGTATCCATTACCACAGGAACTACTTGACACGACTTTCTCATAGTAATAATGGTAGGTGGAATGCTACACAATGGTGAAATACAAATTACACCTTCAATATACCACTTGTTAAACTAGCTGTTTCAGCTTTATAAACATGCAGGTGAATTTCAATAAATTATAGACTGATAAAGGAATAGTCATATCAACTGGCAATAATAAATAATGTTTAGTTTTTAAGGAAATTTGGCTAGATGTTTTTTCATAATGTGTTCATGAGAGATGGCTAAAACTCAAATGTAGCATCTGTTTTTCAGTGACATCTTGACTATATCTAGCTTTATAGATATGCTGATGAAAGAACAAGGAAGTTAAATGACCTGCCTATGGTTACAGAGTGAACCAGTATATTTAAGTTTATTTTTGAACATGGCATACTTCTGGCTCTTTGTCTCTAATATATACACATAGCATATTGATTCCCCTTTGCTGTTTTAAATCAAGAAACTACCCAGCATGGTATAAAGTACAACAGAGTACTATGTACTGAAAAATGAAAGCACCAGATGCTTGATGCAAAATGTAAAGCCTGTCGCAAAGAGTAATAGAAAAGTTATTTTTTAAAGAATGCTTTTGTATGTAATCTGCTTATTCCAGGGCTTGCACAGACTTTTATATAAATTACAGAAGGTGATACTGTAGACTAAAGCTGTTTGCAATTTTCAGAGACCATTTTGTTGTCAACTAGTAGTCTTTTTCAATGTTTTTCATTATTAGGCAAACCAATTAAACCACACTCAGAATATGCCATGTATGCTAAGTACATAATTTGTATAAAATTCTTATCTGTCCATTACCTTTATCCCATTGCATTTTCTTTTTCCTGACTTGGTGTAGTGAGTTCCCCCTTTTTTGTTTTAATAAGAGTTTTGTGTTAAAACCGGCGTGTTGAAATGTCTGACATGAGAATTCTCAAACTGTTAACTAGATTTTGGCATTTAATAAGATGTAAACTGCTGAAGCTATTTGCAGATGAAGTCTCATTTTTGTCCATCAGCAGGGGGCTGGGAGCATAATTAATTGAGTGAAAGTTAAAAGACGGACAGCATGGTTACATTTATGCAAATATTGCAGCAGAACATCTAACAGAAAAGAAAAATAGCTTGTAACTGATTGGTTTGGTTTTGGACCAAAATCCACAGGGCCCATTTAAACACTGCAGATTGTGCAAGACAATTAATACCTATAGCTTTTTAAAAAAATATGCATGCTGCGATAGAAGAAATAATAGAAAAAAAATCCTCAGTAGCAGTCAAAGTTTCAAGTCCAGTGAGACAATTCTATTTCTGTTTTAAGCTCTCTTACTGCTCATGAATGTTAAAATATAGTCACCAAAAAAATCATATGATGCATATGCCTTCAACCATATGCCACTCTCTGCTGTTTGTTTCTTTTATTCATGTCCCAGTCATATGGATGCTAGTACACCAAAGGTTCTATTTAATTAAAGTTAGCTAAAAGCTTAAACCGTAGAGATCAGGACAGCTGCTACAGATATTAACCCAGGTGCTGCTTAGGGTGATCAGACGCTCTTACAAGTATTACACTCTATAAGCTACTCTTTTCTCTGTTTTAGTCTCATGGCTGCCACAGTATGTGGAAGTGACCCCTGAGTCAAGAGTTAGATCTGAAAACATTTTAAATGTTCAAATGCAATTTCAAATTATAATCTATTGTTCTCTGTATAATTTGTGCTTCATTTTTCATATTTGTGAGATATGCATGGCTACCTTGTTCATTGATTCTTGGCTGTACAGGCATTTGATTTTGTTTGCTGTACAACAAATGAATATTCCCTATTGAAGAATTTGCTAGGGTGTCTCCCCTGTAATTCCCCTTTTGTCCTTACTGTGGTTACATTTGTGCATCTTATTTCAATGGCCCAGTAAATTGATATGTAGTTTAGGTTTATTACTACAAATGATTGTATAGCATGCCCCTCATTATTTATTTTTTGTGTATGCAGCCTGTATACACGTGAGTTTGTCTATATTCCTGAATTTGTTTTATTTCACTACTAATCTTTATATATTTCCAAATGTTGCTAACCATTTTAGAACTCACATCTTCACTTCAAAACTCTGTCATGGATTGAAAAAAATAGTTTAGGAGGCCAAGGAATCATTATTTTCTTGGTGTGTATCAACAGAAGAGTAAGTGCTTCATTCTCATTTAAAATGGAGTCCCTTTACCCTGCTCTAATAGGCTATGTCTAGACTGCAAGCCTCTTTCGAAAGAGAGCGTCTAGACTGCACGCGGAACTTTCTAAAGAGCAAGCCGCTTTTTCGAAAGAAAGCACCCAGTGAGTCTGGATGCTCTCTTTCGAAGAAGCCCTATTTACATTCAAGAACGCCTTCTTTCGAAAGAAGCACTTTCGAAAGAAGGCGTTCTTCCTCGTGAAATGAGGTTTACCGCCGTCGAAAGAAAAGCCGCGTTCTTTTGATTTAATTTCGAAAGAATGCGGCTGCAGTCTAGACACAGGTGAAGTTTTTTCGGAAAAAGGCTACTTTTCCCGAAAAAACCCCTGAGTCTGGACACAGCCGTAGTGATTTACTATCATGTTAAGGCTCCTTTATATAGCCACGCTGTATAAAGGGACTTCAGTATAAATGAGAATCAGCTTCTATGTGTTTTGTGTAATTTAGGTTCTCGGCAGTTTAACTTCTGCTTAAGCAGAACAGAATAGTTGGGCTGGGAAGAAAGTAAAGCAGACACATAAAGAAAGTATATCTATGAATGAACTCTTGGCTTTGAAAATGAATGTCAGTGATAGTTCAGAATGTCCAGATCCTCACAGGACTTGCTCAGCATCCTGCAGCATTAGGCCTCTAGTGTCTTTCATGACAGAGAATAGACAGGATGTCTCTATCAACACAAATGGCATTCTTCACCATCGATGTTGGATACACAAAGACCCTGCAGGTCTCTGGCTCTCAGGAGTTCTGCTTCAGCAAAAGCCACCTTAGAGTTAATGGAATATAAACACTTGCTTAAGTGATTTACTGAGCTGAGTCAGAAAGAAGAACACAGCCTCTCTTTGGGTGGAAAGAGGTGTACAGATAGTTCGGAATGGCTTGCTAGTTCGAACTATCTAGCCCGTGCCGCGTGTAGCCGCGCGGCACGGGGTTCGAACAAGCCGGCATTTAAAAATGGCGCCGGCCGGCTTATGCAAATGAAGCCCGGGAAATTCAAATCCCGGGCTTCATTTGCAAGTGCGGTATGCCTACATTACCCCACTAGTTCGAACTAGCGGGGTAGTGTAGACATACCCTTTCTTATTTTTACCACGTTTGGTCTGCCTGTAACCCAGAGAAGGCTAAGCAATAAAGGAACTGATTGCTTACTACAGTATAGGGGTATGTCTACACTACAGCGCTAATTCGAACTAACTTAGTTCGAATTAGTTAATTCGAACTAAGCTAATTCGAACTAAGCATCCAGACTAAAAAACTAGTTTG